ACACCCACTCCTCACATGTGCAAACACTAACTGCTTAACTGATCACTAACCAATCACTGCTTTAGTGTTCAGTAGAACTGTACATAGGTCAAAGGTCAGATTACCTGTTTTGAACAATGGCTGCCAACAATGGACAGAGAGCAAGGGGAGTAGGAGGGAGACAACGAGGACTAGTTCAAGGAGGAAGAGTTGGAAAAAGAGGAAGAGGACGATGACAAGAACGTCTTGGGAGAGGACTAGTTGGAAGAGGACGAGAGCAAAGAAGAGAAGGAAGGCGAGCCATCACTGATCATGAGAGAAGCTCGACTGAGAGTCCAGCCCAACTTGAGTCGGTTTACAGTGGCGTCCATAACTGCAGGCATGCAACAATCTATTGGTTATTTCCGCAGTACAGTATTGTAAAATAAGTACTATTGTTTGGCAATAAAAGTAAAAATTATACTTTAGGTTCAGATATGTTTATGGTTTTTGTTTCTTGTATGCTACTGTACAACACTGTGCTACTGTAACAACTGTAATGTTTTGCCAAATAAATATTTGCTATTGTACTTTTCAGCACCTCTTAGCAGATTAGTTTCACTCTACAACATTGTATGTTAATGTATGGAAATACACAAAAACCTATGAAAGACAAGACAAGTTTTAGATTTAGAACAACAGTGTGTAAATAAATCCAATAATTTGCTATAATGGAAAAAGCCATTTGATGCAAATGCTTCATTTTGGGATGTGTTTATGGCATTTTGAATGCAGTGTTTCATTTTGAAGGACATATGAGGCATTTTGCATTGTGTGAGCTGTGAGAGTTCTAAACTTTCCTCAATCACGGTGAAGCATCAGTTTTTATTTTGCAAATTAACGCAGTATTAATGAATGATGCTGCCAAGGAAAAACTATAAACCACCTTGCTGAGGTGGAGGAAATTAAGAAATCTCTTGATTTTTTGTCAGCGGAGATTACAAAAGTCGCAGCCTAAAATAAGATCATGGAGCTGATGGGAGAAATCCAAGCGCTTAAAACGCAGAACAAGGAAAAGGATAAAATCATAACTTTCCTGGAGAATCGAGTGGCCGAACTTGAGCAATTTACCCGGAGTAACGACCTCATTATCAGCGGCCTGAGGACCAAACACCGGAGTTACGCCAGAGCGGCCATGGCATCGGAGGATGCGGGGCCGACGCCTCGGAGGACGACCGTAAGTCGATGGAGCAACAGGTGCTTTGTTTCTTGGACAGCAAGGGTATTTCTATTAACAGCGGAGACATCGAAGCATGCTATACCCTGCCCAATAAATCCAAAACGGCTGCACCTGCAATAATAATGCGGTTTACCAACAGGAAGAAAAAACACGCACTCCTTAAACAAGGAAGGAAGCTGAAAGGGACAGACATCAACGAACACCTCACTATTGCAAGAAGAGCACGAATGCTACAAGATCATGTCAGTAACATGTCATTATGAAGTGTGTCACAGTAGAAATTGAGAGAGAAAAAGAAAGAAATATTCCACACTAATTGACAATATATTAACAAACGTTACTGACAGACCGGTTACAAGTGACCTAATAATAACTGACATAAGCGACCACTCGCCAGTCTTTGCAATTATACAAAAAAAAGTTTATGTGAGTGACGTTAATAGGGCCTATTAAACATTTCTGAGAATCATATCAGGATTATATGACAACCATTGTCCTCTAGTAAAGAATATAGTCAAGCTAAAATACCAAAAGGAATCAAAACTGAATGCAAGAAGAAGAATTTACTAGAATTCTTAAAGAGAAGAACAACAGAAGCAGAACAAAATATAAGTTATATAAAAATAAATTAACAAAAATCATTAGATGCAGTAAAGTTGATTATTAGAACAGTTTACTGGAAGACAACAAAAATAATATTTAAAAAATATGGGACGTCTAAAATGCTATCATTAAAAAAAATGGAAAAAAAGAATATCCAAGTTACTTGCTAGCATCAAATGATACAGAAATCACTGACAGGGCTTCAGATGCTGGGGAATTCAATAAATACTTCAATGCTGGTCCGGGACTGGCAAGGGATATTCCAAAGACGGGTAGTAGTGATGGAGTAGAAAGTAAGTTATTTGTTGAAGAAACAATATTTATTAAAGTATATTATTATATATAATATTTATAAGAGGGACTGATGAAAAAGAACTTATCGATATTGTAAAAAAAAATTAAGAGTAAGAAGTCCACCGACTGCCATGATATTTATGTGTCAGTCCCTACAAACCGATAAATTGGGGATTTTATAGGGGCGGTGCGGTGGTGCAGGTTACTGCTGTCGCCTCACAGCAAGAAGGTTGTGGGTTCAAACCCCAATTGCCCTGGCTTCTCTGTGTGGAGTTTGCCCCATTTTTAGACTCTGATGGAGCTCAGGATTGATCAGGAGGGCGGCTGCTTTACTCCAAACAGTTTTACTGTGTGAACCTGGACTGTGTGTGAGACCTTTTGGATGTGTAGAAGAACACAGAACATGAATTAACATTAGATCCTGACCGATCCTGTCGGGGTGTCGGGAGATTTTTAATTATTTCTTTATGTTGCTGTGGCTCGTGCAGAAATGCGCAAGGCGTTTCTGGAGAGGCACTTCATCCAGCGACTATTCAGTGTTCATTTTTCCAATCCTGCAGCCCATCCACAGAGATCTATGCTCTAAGACAGAAGCCAAGGAGGCAGTTCACTGAGGAGTGATGGTTAAAATCTGTAATTGTAAATGTCACTCTGATTGGCATTATCAACCGGTTTTGACGCTATTATGCAGCTGCCCGTTATTGTGCATATTGTGGTTAGGCCTACTGGCAGCAGATGCATTTTAATACCACAGGGCACATAAGTCTGGCTAAACAAGCAGCTAAACAAATTATCATCTTGTAGTTATTGGTATTTTCCATAATTATGGTCGTGATCTGACTTTATGCTGCACACAACATGAGTCTGCGAATAGCGAAAGTGAAAGGAGTTGGTTGGCTGAGCAGGTTGAGGTGTGCAGCCTGTCACCTGCAGCTCTTTATCTAAAAGCTCACTGTGTCTGCTGCTCCTGACTGTTGCATTACTCACTGCAATATTTCAAACGGGTCCGCTGTCAGAAAACTGTTGAAAATGACAGCTGTCTTGTTGTGTAGCTGCATTTTTGAAGCAGGGCTTCAGCATTACAGTAAGAAGTGTTGGTGTGCTTTTAGCATGACTCAGCATATTTGCAGAACTGTTTTGGCACAGACACAGAAAAACTGGAACACAGAGTTTCAGATGTCAGTAAATTACATCCCTGTATTGATGAAAATTCCCCTTCACTTAGTCACTTGATCCACTTAACATAAAAACTATTCAGAAGGTAAAAGAAGATTTGACTTTTGTGGTGTGTCTCAAGCGCAGCAAATTGAATGTTGCCCAACTTGAATAAATTGTCTTGTAATTTATCATTTCCGAACACATGTAGCAGTCAAAAAAGGGGGCTGCCTGCCAGTATGTTTCATTCAGGATACAGCTATCCAGCACATTTTCTGTAGCGAACCTGACAGTATAATGTATGGTCTCTTTCAGTGGTGGACAGTAACTAAGTACATTTACCCAAGTACTGTACTTAAGTACAAATTTGAGGTACCTGTACTTTGCATATTTTTATTTTCTTGACACTTTCTACTCCACTACATCTCAAAGGGAAATATTGTACTTTTTAGTTCACTACATTTATCTGACAGCTTTAGTAGTTACTTTATAAATAAAGCTTTTTACACACAAACATTTGAAGAGTTATATAAAATATGATGTTTTGTTATAAATTAAACTACTGCAACAGTTTATTCAAGTACAGCTAAAACGATTAGTCGGTTGGCAGAAAATTAATTGGCAACTGTGTGAACTCATGATCATTTAGGTCATTTTTCATGTAAAACATTTCATGGTTCAAACTTCACAAGTGTGAAGATTTGCTGATTTTCCTTTTAATGATTTGAATAATTAGAATGTAGTGTTAATAATGTTGACGTTTGTACTTTTGGTTGGATAAAACAAGATTTGTGAAGGTGTCGCTTTGAGCTCTGGGTAGCTGTGATGGCATTTCTCACAGTTTTCACCATCAATCAGTCGATTAATGGAGAAAATAATCAGCAGATGAATTCATAATGATATAATTTGATTAGTTGCAGCCCGATACAAAATAGTTCTAAATGAGCTCCACCTGAACCACCTTCATCAGAAAAATCCTGCTTTACATGAATGCATGAGGAATAATAATCTACACAACAGTCACTGGGGACATTTTCTTTTAATACTTTAAATCATTTTCCTGATTACACTTGCACAATTTAACTTCAGGAACATTTTCAATGCAATGTGCTTTTACTTGTAACAGACTATGTCTACAGTGTGGTATTAAAACTTTTACTTAAGTAAAGGATTTGAACACTTCCTCCACCTCTGGTAACTTTTCTTTCCATATTAAGTCTTTAAAGCTGCATTAATTGTGGCGGAATAAGCTGTGGAGGACACAATCACAGAAAACAAACCAAGATTGTTATGACATTCACATCAGCTTCAGCTGCACTTGGTGTTTAGTACTGATGTATGATGAAATGTTAGGATGGAGCCCTGTGGCCAAGTACTACCCCCACATAGCTGCAAGCATGGCTGTAGACTCTATCTAAACCACAGGCTTCAGTTTGGCAGCTTCAACTGATTTCTGTTTTTCTTTTCACAACTTGTACAGATAGTGCTTATTTTGCCAACGAATATTTGCGAGTTAGTGAGAAAGAAGCAGACAGTTTTGCAGTTGCATTGTGCATTTGAATGTTGTCTTCAGGCTGTCAAACTGGCTCAGGCTGACGTGAAAAAAATAAAGACAGAAGCTAAAGAATACTGATCAGAGTAAAAGTGGACCACCATATCACCTGAATATTGAGAAAGAGGACATATCAACACTGTTAATGTACAGCTGGGTAGGTCTCTATTCACTATTATAATCATTAAAAAGCAGAACAGTAGGGCTTTATAACGTTACATTCAGTAGTATGTTAGTAGTAGTGATTGTAATTATTAGTGTTTGACCATATCTTGGCAAAATACTGCAAAAGAAAGCTAGAAAACGACCCGTTTTGCATTAGAGTCAATGGAGCGCAGCCATGAAAGTGTCGGACCTCAGTTATAGCGAGCCCTATCCTGCGCTGTGATTGGCCAGCTGTGTCCAGGAGGAGAGCTTTTGCTCAGTCTCGGTCTACCTTTTCTATGGGGCACATTTAGAACAGACATCAGGATAATCTTTTCACATCAGACTGTAATGCCGCACTCAGTCAACTCTAAAGAGAAGGGAGGCAAGTGATCAACCTGAGGGCAAGAGACGTACAGTATGTACATCTGAGAGACACACGTGGTTGAGCTAGATGCCGGTACAGCAGGGTTACCCTGTCTGGTCACTGCTTTCAGCATGCCTCTCCTTCTCCCTGTCTCTCTGTACTGCCTGTTTTGTGACCAGATACCATTATTTTACCAGAAGAACAGTCACTGAGCTGGATGATCATTTTAATTTGATACATTGAATATTCTGTTTGTATCACTGGTTTGTGGATAAAGAACAGTGTACATGCAGCCCTGTCTGACAGGTGTCTGAGACTGTTATTATCCCTCTCTTCAATGCTCCCAGACTCCTTTAGACAAATTTTACCATGCAGAACACAGGAGTTGCTGGTCTACAGCTGCCTCAATTAGTTAGTTTGTTTATGTTATTGTGTGACCAACTGAGACAGGTGTGGGTTCCAGATGTGTCTATTTGTGAATGTTGGTAGGGCTTGTGAGCATGTCTGTATGTACATTAGTTAGAAAAAGGAAAAGCACACAGAGGAAGGTATACAAGATCCTACACCGCACACAAACCGTGGAATTTACAATCACTTAGCAGGTTTTGGATTCCACTCCTGATAGTTTCGCTATTGTCTCAAGAGTTAACACAAGCAAAACACAGATCTTAATTACATGGTAAAACATCAAAAGTGGTTTCAACTTTGAGGTGTGAATTAACAGACAGAGAGATTTTGGTGCTGCTTTCTTCGTTACATGCCATTTGTTATTTAGAGGCCACTTTATGAAGGCTTTGCCATAGGATGAGGTTCCAACGTTTTTTAATGATCTACTTTACCTGTAAGTGTGACACGTTTGTTCAAAAGCCATAACGGCATATCTGGTTTCCCTCAGGCTCAGTTACTAATTGGGATTCAAATATTTCACCTATAAACTCAGTGTCATGCAGTCTTGATTGTTGTTCCATGAGTAAGTGCTGCAAAATGAGTTCCAATTAAGAGGTAATTGCAGTGCTGTTGAGCAGTAACAAGTTGCTAATGAAAATCCTGGGCTTATGATGGAACTGGGAGATTGCTTTTAAAATTAGGCTGCTTCACCAGTTTTGCTCTCTGTGGATGAAGGAATTAGACAGCATGGGTCTGGGAAGTCCTGGCTAATTACTCTCAAATCCCAGTGAAGTCCATTTGTGGCAATTATTGCCCTGTGATTGCCTTTGTACCATCTCATCTCACAAAGCTGCTCACAATTTCTATTTGAATTTCTCACAAACTGTGTTGTTTTGGCACCTTTTCACGTATTGGCACCTTGCCACATATTGTTATTTTTAGTAATTTGAGCCCAAGATAATTGACTGATAATATTTAAAGGTACAGTATGTAAGAATCTACTACTCTCCACCTGTTGTTCACACTCCAAAAATATAAGGACAGTATTTCACACATCAGGTCAAAATTATGACAGTTTAGGCTGCATTTTAGATAATATTTAACCAAATACATGTTGTGAGATGTGCAACATTCTTTTCTTATCTCTGATAAAAGCCTGATTAATTTAATGGGGCGTGATTTACTGTGTAAAATGCATGCTACTCAGAGAGGAATCTGTATTTATTAAGTGCCTGTACCTGTGCTTTATGGACGGTAGCTGCACGAGGACACACACCCTTCCACGCCGTCATGCCAATCTAGTCCGCAGTCGGGGTCTGAACCTGCACCTGTGGCGCTTCCATGTCTGCTCCCCACGGGGTTTTAGTAAATTGACATCCGTTAGAGGTGTCTCTTGTCACAACAGGCAACCCCTCGCTGGTGACAAAGGGGGCCTTCTGCCTCCCCCTATTGGTAGAAGTGGTTCTGACCAGCTTGTGGTTTGGAGTGGTCCTTATTAAATGTGGAGCATTCTTAAATGGTTGCTCAGTATTTTGCTGTACAGGATGCTGTGCGTTTTGTTGTGGTTATTTTAGTGTGTGCAAAGTTCCCTTGCAGTGCTGTGTTATAGGGTGGAAGGACAGCCCCGGTGACCATTAGGGGTTGACCTTTGTGAGGGCTCTCTGCCTTCCTTGCTACATTTCACTGGGGGGTAGCTTCTGTGTAGTGAAGCTTCATTTAATGTAAAGTAGCTAGTAGCTAGGCTCACTACATTTTCCAAGTAGCTTGCCCAACACTGTTAATAAATTTGTTCAGTTGTGTGACAAGAACTATCTCACCGTTAACACTAAAAAACTGAGGAGATGGTGTTTGACCCTCGGTCAGTGGGGGATGATACCCCACTGACCATTCACAGGTCACTTCTTATAAGTATCTGTGTATCCACCTGGATAAACTCTTAAGCTGGAGTGATCATGTTGACTATGTATGTTCCTGTCACAAACCCCCGGTCGTGACCCTGACCTTCCTGTTGGGATGTGTGTGTGTGATAGTAGTTTTGAGTTCTTTTCCCCTTGGGATGTTTACGGTGTGCTTGGTGTGTTTTGGTTTTTGTCTGTCTCTCTGTGATCTGCTTCCTCCCTCATGCTCTGGGGCTGCTGGTGGGCGTGGTTGCCTGAGCTCCTGTTGACGCACCTGAGACTCATCCATTTAATCAGCACACCAGTGCCTCAGCCTACAATCAACCCACCTTAAAAGACCAGCCCAACCTTCCAGTCCCCGCTGGATTGTTGTCCCACACAGTACGAACACGCCAGCCTGTTGCCCAGTCTGAACAATCAGCATCTTGTCTGAACCCTTGAATTCGTATTAATGTGTTTTTCTGTCTTGACCACAGCATACCTGCTCATGCATGACTCGGATTCCCTCCTGCGCCACGAAAATCCCTGAGCTCTGGAACCAGGACCACATGCCCCTTGGAACAACCACCCATCCTCAAGCCACACCTGTCTCTCCCTTGTGTTCAATAAATCGTTACACTGCTCATACTCTGGTCTGCGTCTGAGTTTCTGGCCCCACTCCTGACAGTTCCCATTTATAGCAAAGGCTGAATTTTATTTTTACGCAGACTGAGGGTGTTACATAAGTTTTTATTTTATCAGGCAGTGATGGAGAGTGTCATCAGGTATGGGATGGCGGCGTGGTTCAGCAATCTCTCCACACAGTCCGAATCACAGTTGCAGCGCCTGGTACAGACTGCTATGAAGGTGATGGGGAGGACTGAAAAGCTCTCCCTTCAGTCCATCTATGAGCAGTCTGTACTCAGGCAGGCGTGAAGAGTACTGCTGGACCCGTCCCACATTCTTCAAATGGAATACGAGCTCTTGCCTTCTGGCAGAAGGTACAGAATCACAAAAACCAAATTGAACTGTTTTAAATACTTTTTCGTACCGACCTCCATCAAAATTTTAAATCAAAATTTTTAAAAGATCCTTAGTCTATCTCACAAAAGCAAATCTTTATGTCCTTGAACATGTCATTGTTTATGAACAAGATAGTCAAAATGGCATGTTATCAATATAACAGTGTAAGGGTTTTCTGATGTAAACTATAGCTAACGTTTTGATGACAATGGCACTTTTTTTTCAATATGTCATATCCATTTCAGTATAAAGTTAGACATTGCAAGAGATTGGACAGGATTCACAGTTACGTTTTCACTGTTCGTACTATAATTTGTTGACAGACCACGTGACTGTGATGCAGAAAAGAAAAATAAAGGACTGTTTTCTAGCACTGCATTGCACAACATAAGGAATTACAAAATTAGAAATGTATGCATCTGAAACACTCCTTAGGCTGATGTTCCTGTCTGTCAGGTCACAGATTCTTATCCACATCACAACAGATATCGTCATCACTTACAGTAAGGAAACATTTACAAAACAATGTCTAATAGATGTGTAGAAAGTATGATTGACAGAGTATCTCTCTCTTTCTCTCTCTCTTTCATATATATATAAAATCTTAATCTTATTTAATTCAATTTTAGCGTGTGTTCTTAATGAAACATAGCTTTTCCCAATGCCTGGTTTAAGCCTTCACCACACACACACAAAGAGAGCAAGTTTTAATAAAAGTATTTTTACAGGTCTCTTTGTATTTCATTATAGATCATTAGTTTGTGTGACTGCATTGTATAACTTTTGTTGTATTTAGGTGTAATTTTGGTATAATTATCGTAAATAAGCTCTATTCAAAGAAACCTCACTAATTTCTAAACCCTGGTGACGTAGGTCACTTCCAATCAGTCACATCACTGAGATAAGTGATGGTACGCATCATTTTGCCAGTGGGTAAAAAAATTATTGTTGTGTTTTTTTGTCATTAAATGGACCAAGTAAACATAATTTAAAGAAATTTCAACAAACAAAATATTTTGGGGGTAGACTTTGGGGTACATCCCCTTAAGGCAACACTGTACCATAATGGTAAAGAATGGAAAAAGAGAGTTATTATTTAAAGTCTGACTAAAATGTCTTAAAATAGTCACTGAAAATGTTCAATGCTTTACCAGTTTAAAGTACAATCATTTTAAATTTGAAAATATAAAAAATAAACTCTTCACATAGGTTTGTTTGTCTAAATGTTACCTTCAGGCAACATACCATTGTGGAACCGCCTATAGGAATGAATGTAAAAAGGAGACTACACATATTTCAACAAAGTTTACATTAAAAATCTTTTATTTATTATTATTTTTTTTTTTTTTACATTAAAAATCTTTAAATGCAAACATCAAAAACTTGCTGAAGACAGAGCTACCTTCCATCAATTCCTCATTTGTGTTACATTTAAATGTGTCTTCAGTTCTCTGGTGCCATTTAAGATATGTACTTGCATCCGTCTTTGGCTCAATACTTATGGAAGTTGACAAAGCATAGAAAGTCAACAAAATGCATCACATTATCAATAAGTGAATACAAGTTATTAAATAGGTTTCCTCCCTATCTTATACTCATACCTGTCACTGCACTTTTATCCTAACTGCTCTTCATTCTTTTCCTCATCTGCGTTCTTAGACTCATCCTCACAATCACTCTTACTTTTCTTGCAGGATTTCCAGCAACTCATTGTTTTCCTCATTACTAAATCCTTATTCATCCTCACTACCATCAGCTGGAAGTGCCCTTTTCTTAGATGAACCATAGAAAACCTTTATGTTCATCCTCTTAATGGAAGAACAATGTGTTTAACCCTATATAAGCATGTTCTCTGCAGGGAAGATAACAAAGCATAAGGTTCAAATGTCCAGTGTAATACATTTAATATTACAGTGTTATTACAACCAACACTGCCCACATCAGTGGAGTGATGACGTCCTGACTTCCAGTTATTACAGTAAGAAGTATAAGAGTACCCTCTATGTTTAAACATGTGTAATGGCAGCTTGATAGGTAAGCTAATTTTAAACTCTTTCATCTGTTACACAGAAATGTGTGGTATTCTCATTCATACGAATTAAAAAAATTCAATGTGTCCTTTTTTCTCTCCTTTACTTGCTTTTTTATCCTCTTTGTCCCAGAAGGACACACATTTCAAATCGTTGCCGTTTAAACTTTTTATAAAGACAAGAAAGATTGTAATAAAGGACCTCTGAACAGAGAACAGAGTTTGGATTTTTATTGTTAATTTAATTAGTGTGTTGCACAATTGGAACCCTGTATATGTCTGATCACAGTTTTGATATTTTTTCTGTCTGAATTGCAGTACAGTTTCCAACTTTTTTTTGTTTGCTTTAGACAAAACCTTTTGCCGAATAATAACTACAATAACTTTATTTATATAGCGCATTTCAAAACAAAGTTACAAAGTACTTTGCAGTGAGAACATAACACATCCAAGTTTTTCTTATAAATTTACCACTTCAATTTTGATTTTTTTCCTCAGCATTTTCCCCCCACCTCCTCTTTTTTCTAACCTATAATGACCCTAATGCGCCATCGTATTTAAATACATTTAATGAGGTAACATTTCAGCACAGTCATTAACACGTTTAAATAATCCATCACAATCTTTCAGCAGACAAAATAGTTATGTAAAAAATGTCATCACATAACAGTTTTCAAGAAAAAAAACTATAGTCTACACATTGTAACACGCTGTCATTTTCAAATTTTAGAACTTAAATAGCTGGCAAAACATTCATTCAAGATACTACTCTCATTGTCCTTGTGTTTCCATTCTATACAATATTTTCTCCTTCTGCTTTCAGCTTAGAACAGCTGTTACCCTACATTTCTGTTGATGTGAGCAATTTTCACTTTATAGATAATCTCACTGAATCAGTTTGAATAGTTTAAAAACACTCAACAGTATCATTCACATTCATTAAACATTTTTTTCCCTGTGCAGCTAGGCAGTTAGTCTTTTCATCCTTGTTTTGCATGGCAAATGATTTGCTATCAAGTTTATGAATAGTTTAAATGCTAAGAGAAAGATCTCCGCCCTGTAAAAAACTTGATCTTTTGTTGCTCAGCTAGCTCCTCGATAATTCCATACTCATGACTTCCAGGATGTATTCCGGTTTTAAACTTTGTGTCTTTGAGTTTTTCCCAGTAATGATTCCAGTTTCCATATTTGTCTGCTCCATAACCGAACACATGTACCTGTTGGATAAGAAAAATAACAACAAAAACATCTATTAACTTAAACAGAATTACATAATGTATGTACATAATGAAACACTGCCTTTGCAACAAGTGCCACAACTTTCAAGATGTTAATTTTGTAATCACACTACATAAGCAGTACTGGCAGCTGGACTACTGAGTGGGCCACAGCATTCAAACTGAACTGTCTATCAAGCCAGTCGGGCCACGAGTCTGGGTTAGCCAATGCAGGTCTGGTTAAACATTCTTGTCTGTCTTGGACTATGGTGATATTTTATACATGTATTCAACCTCCCAGTGTCTTCATGCTTTGGACACTGTGTTTCATGGAGCCTTGAGATTCATCACAAACTTAAAATCTCTCAATCATCACAGTTTGCTGTATTCTCGGGTCGGGTGGTTCTCCCTCTCCATTCGGCGTTGGATGCACTGGCATCTTTTTATTTATAAGGCAGTGTTAGGACTTCATCCTCCCGAGGCCTGCAGGAACATATCACCTGCACTCACAGGATCTGTTTTTATTGACTGTCCCTAAAGCCCGCACTGACTTTGGCAAAAGGCTTTTAATTTTGCAGCACCTTCTGCATGGAATCAGCTTCAGAATGAACAATGTACAGTTGAAGGAGTTGGTCTCATTTTATCCTTTTAAAGGCTTTTTAAAGGATCTTGCAGAAAGGCAGTCTGTCTGTCACTGTTTTTAAATTGATTTAGGACCCAGGTTTTTTATGATGACATTGTTTGAATATGATGAGTGAAATTATGTCTATGTATTTACCTGTAAGTGTCTCTGTATGTATTTGTAACTGCGCTGCTGCCACTTGCCAGGACACTCTTGTAAAAGAGATTTTTAATCTCAAGGAGTTTTTTATCCTGGTTAAATAAAGGTTTGAATGAATGAATTTAACTCTAATGCTGGGCCTCCATAGGAATGTTCACCCAAATGTTGGCCAATATCACCATGTCTATTACAGTTTTTCACAATTGCTGAGACACATTTCTTGAAACCTTCATCCATTTTCTCATAAACTTAAACACAAAACCTAATCTTTACACTACATTCAGAAAACGCCTGAATCAAAAATCAAAATCAAGTAATGCTTTCAAAGCATAAACACAGCCAGTCAATAGGTAAAACACTACAGAGCATTCTTTAGACGCTACATCAAAACTTAACACAGCGTCCAGGGCATGTAGTTACAGAAAAACTGTTCTTGCGTAGAGGAAACACATTTTCCAATTCAAAAAGTATAATAATCACAACTTAGTACAATAAATATATAGTATACAGTAAATACTGCAAGTACAGTATTGAATATCTGTATATTCAAACACAGTAAGCCCAAAGAACAAAGAAACCTATTAATGAAAAGCACGTTACCCTCAAAAATGTTGCAAACTGCAAAATTAAAGTCCATATAGTAAGAGGCTTCATCCACATCACATACAAGCAAAGAAAACCCTGGGAAGTGCTGGATGCAGCCTTACTGTACTCACTCTACCCTCTACTGGACTCTATGGGTACTACCTCCTCCAATCACACGCATGCACTTGCCCACTGATATTTTATCGTGCACGTAGCCGACCAATAGGACGTCGCTACTGATATGTGTGTGACGTATAACAGTGTCACCGTGAGCGCGTCGTCAGTGGAGCAGTCAATATCAACAGCTGCAGTGAAGCCGAGTCAGGACAGGGCATCCTCCTCTCCACTGCAGCAAGCTGCTGCTGGGAGAATGAGCCGCTGTCCACTGTAATAAAGTGATACGGGCCGCACCGCTGGAAGAGACATGTTGTCTGGTTGCGTCTCTCCGGCTATATTTGACCTAGATTGGCGTTAGCTCGACTCGTGCTGTCGCAGATAGTCAGCTGAACGCTGCGCTGGTTCTGTTGAGCATATGTTGACAATGTGGTTGTGTGTTTTAGGAACACACACACTGTCAGTGAGCTAGCAGTGTTCCCGTGGACATCAGCCTTTGTCCCCCTTTAAAAAAAAAAAATAATAATAATAATAAGGCTTAGACTTTTTCCAAGGGCTGCAATCGAAAAGGCTGCGGTGTCCTTGAACGCACCATGGACCGTTTTTCGACAGGTTGAACCAGCCATACCGGCCGGAGTTGGAAAAAGGCTGACCTGGCCTTGAACTCACCACATCCTCGTGGAGGAAGTTAAACCAACCGAAGCAGCAAGCGATCTCTTTCGTCCCGCTATACCGAGAGAGACCTGACTTTGGCTGTCTCTCAACCGGCTATAGCGGACTATCCTAGCTGCGCTGTGACCGCTCAGCGAAAGACATGTTGGCAGGGCAGCGTGTCTGTTTATGTAACACGCTTTCGCAGCCGGTAAGCTAGCAAAGCGTCCATGCGAGTCCTCGTGGGCGCGCTGGGAATGCACAGTTACAGTACACTGCTGCATTGCCCAGTTTCCACGGTAAGAACAGCTCGTTTTTCGGCTGTCACGTCGTGGAAGCGGACCATTATGGCCACGTGGACTCTGCGGTCAGGCTAGCAAAGTGGACGCTGGGCCTCACCCACCCTCTCACTCGGTTCTGACCAGGGGAGGCCGTGGGGCGAACCGTTAGCTTAGCGTCGGTGAGCGTTCAACACGGCTAGCTCAATGGGATGGGGTTGGTGGTGGGGAATATAATGTGTTGCTAATAAACAGTTTAACATTCACAAGCATCACCACAGTGTACACACAAGCAGCACATGTTAGAACAGTGGCTTCCTGAACACAAGGCCGACGCGCTCACGGTGACACTGTCCCTTACTTATAGGTTGGTCAAAGGGTGACATTGCCACTATGCTGGCCAGGGACTGGACCACATATTAGTTTGATCACATCATTAGAAACAAGTGTGCAGAATTGTGAGTTGTGTGTAAAAGATGACAGCTGTGTTGTAATTGTGTTTAACTTTTGCTGCATGTATTTACCATTTTGCAAAAAGTGTCTTAACTACCTGAACTTGTTTAAGGTTTTGCCAAGAGAGTGGCTGATTCGACAAATGGATTTAGGCCACTGAGCACTGTGTTCAGAGAATGGGGTTTAGCGTGTTAGCAATTGTGAAAAACTGTAATAACAATGAGTAACATCTGATTGTTAACACTTCTCAGAAGAAAGCTACATAAATACAAACTTTGATAACTTGACTTTTTTCATCATGTCATTTGCATCCACTTGTTAATCATTAGTGTGTTACAGCAACACTAGTGACATTCACAAGGAAATAACAATTTCATAATTGACTCACCTCGTCACAAATATGGAGGGCAAGAATCAAAGCCATAAAGCCAGTGGATGGATAACGGCCCTTCTTTTGCAGCCACATGTCATGAACATACCTCATGAAAGCTGGATTGATCACCATCACCTGTTATGAATCAGAATTAGCCTTTACACTTATTTCTAGGAGCCGCTGCCTTTGTAGCCAATACAATGTGTTGTTGAATGCTTTCAAAATAATACTCACCAAATCCTTGTTAGCTTTGATATTTGACTTAACTGGCACATATGACCTGTTGAAAATACCATGAAGTATCAAACTTAACATCAAAGGAAACTGCTTTGATTTGAATTGCTGGTTCCTAAGAGCTCAAACTGGCAGGGAAGCCTGTCCTTAACACACCCTGGATGGAAGATTAGCTGTTTCTCATATCTCAGTGTCTGCACTGCTGTCCTGTAGAGCTGTATATTGTGTTTAGGCTACATCCTAGATGGTATGTTGCAGGTTAATGGTGCTGGGATGTGTTACTTTCCTTCTACTGGACCTGTATTGAGCACAGGGAATTAAGCCAACTACACTGTTTGTCTGACACAGGACATGAAGTCCAGTCTCTTGCATGACAGTCAGTCATTACTTTTTGCCTTCCCTACACAAAGGGAAAACTACCTCTTGTACTGGCACTGACTGTTTGTATTGGATGTAAATTGTGTGCTGCAGGATTAATTGCAGCATGAATGTAAATTCCTAAGTAACAGGCACAAGTTGTGGTGAATTCCTTACTGGTGATAATTATAATCCTCATCATTGTGAGCTACGTACTAAAGTCGAGTGGCCATCTCTCACGGTAAGGTGTGATTGGCACTAGGTTTTATTTATTTATAAGGCTCTTACTGAGTCTTTACTCCCTTACATTACTCCATTGCTGTCTCTTAATGTGGGCCCTTCTCGAACACACTCAAATGATTTGATCACATTGCAGCTGCTGGCTGTTTTCATTGAGTTTGGTAAATCCTACAACAACATGCAGAAAAGGTTAGTTGATTAATTTGCACTGAATTTTAATAGCTTTATTTATTCTTAAGGTTTTATCATTTTACTTATTAGTTATTTTTTACTTCTACTTTTTATTGCCACGTACCTAAGTTTATTATTTGTGTTTAATGTTGCCTAGGATCTTTGGCTATATTTCACATAACTGACTCAGCCCTTTCTCACTTGACAGCCAAATAATATTGTCATTGTGGTAAAAGGGCAAATTTGAAACATACAATAATAAAAACTTTAAAATGTCTTGGATAATTTCTCATTTTCATGCTTATACAATATATTTAGTTTGTATTTATTGATATAATTATTTATGTTGTCATATTTATGTATTTAATATTGAACTCATTATGTCTACACACTGGGAGTGGGGAGAAAGAAATTAAAAGATCTGACTCACCTTCCAGTAAATCCAGTAGAGAAGGCCTTGATGAGCCACTCGAGATCTTGTATCTTGAATGGAAACAGCACAAGATGAGTGTTGTTATCCAAGTCCACGGCACTCTCTGGATACATGACATGATGAGTTGTTCTGGTCCCGACATCTGCTTCAAAGCCTTTGGTAGGACCATGGTTAATTCTAAATAGAACAATGGGATGTTATCTTATATGCCACTATCATTGACAGAAACACACTGCATTGGGGGACTGCTTGAATTTTATCATTGAGGGAAAATGTGGGGGTGGTGATTGAGCAGTGGATAAGATGCATACCTTTGCTGTGACACCACCAGTGTGTCCCTGAGCAAGCCACTTAACCCCTAGTTGCTACAGAGGCATGCGACCTCTGACATAAATAGCAATTGTAAGTCGCTTTGGATAAAAGAACTAACTAAACTAAACTATAAAGAAATAAAAAAATAAACTATACTATAACTAAATTAATAAATGTAAATGTAAATGAAAGAAAAATGAACCAAGTGCAAAACCTGCAGTTCCTCAAATGGACACTTGAAGCTAGCTGTAGCCTGGTTTTGGTATCTAATTTCCCTGTTCATGACAACTGTGCGGGGATTGAATTTTTATATAACTCACCTGTTTAAATCATATTAAGGCTTACAGTTATAACAAAGATCCAAATCACCCTTCTAGCTACCGCCCACTCTCTCTTATTAATACTGACCTAAAAATTATTACAAAATCCCTAGTAACAACAATAGAGACAGTTACACCAAAACTAATCCACCCAGATCAGACAGGCTTCATCAAAAGCAGGAACGCTTCAGATAACCTCTGTAGACTCTTTAACTTAATCGATATATAACAGCAAAGACAAGACAAAACCTTAATTGTATCATTAGATGCCAAAAAAGCTATTGACAAAGTAAACTGGACTTTTCTATTTAGCACCCTGCGCAAGTTTGGTTCTGGAGAGTCAATCATCCATTGGATAAGAACACTGTACACGTCACCTAGAGCTTCAGTAATCACAAACCAGATAACCTCACCTAGTTTCACACTTCATCAGGGAACCAGACAAGGATCCACTCTCACCATCCCCATTTGCTATTTTTATTGAACCACTCGCAACAGCAATACGACAAAATAAAATTGATGGAATCCAGATATATCCACATATCCACATATGACAAATGAGTCTTTATGCAGATGATTTATTACTGTATCTAAAAAATCCATCTGTGTCACTACAGGAAACCTTTCACATCATTAATAACTTCTCAATAATCTCAGACTACATAATAAACTGGAATAAATCAACTATACTAGTGCTATCTTTAGATGCGTGGGATTCTGCAGCTCAAGACTTCTCCTTTCCTCTTCAAGCTGGCAACATAAAATATTTATTGCATTGGCATTAATATTTCTAATAAGATGTCAGATCTCTTTCACCTCAACTACACCCTTCTGATAAAAAAAATAGATGACTTTAAACGATGGACCAAACGTCCACTCACTCTCACATTTTTACTAATTACTGTAAGAATAACACAATCTCATCAACTCTCACAGCCTTGTAGAAAACTAGTAAAATTACCAAATCGTTGATAACATCTTTTGGCACGATCCGGATTTCAAACTGCATAACACCCCTGTGTATTTTCCATCATGGCAGCCCAAATTAAGTAAATATCAAAAATCACAGATAGAAAAATATTATCTCCAGACTCTAAACTCATATAGATACATTAGATACAGATACTTCTGTAACAGTCCCAATTTCAAAATGGGATAACAATTTAGCAGTCTCTCTCAACCCTGACGTCTGGCCACAAATCTGCAATAATATCTTCTCTATGACCACAACACATCACAAACTTGCTACTCATACAAAACTATCCACAGAATACACCTCACTCAATACAAAATATTTAAAATGGGACTGGTCAATACCGATATCTGTCCTCAATGCACTTTACGTAAAACAGATAATTATCTCCACGCCACTTGGACCTGCCAACCAGTTTACTCTCTTTGGAGAGTAGTGTTGTGTCGTTCAAAGAACGTGTCGTTCATCTGACCTAATCTTGTATGTGACTCAGAAGGAACGCGTTGTCTCAGTGAGTAATTTGTTCATTTTCACGCATGCGTGAATAGTCTTGGACTCTTACGTTACGTCTTACACAGCAGCTGCATGGTCTCCATCAGCACAGGAAACAGAATTGATTAGTTCACGACTCTCAACTAAGGGTCTCTGGGTTTGAGTCGTTAATTTTTCATGTGACATCTCGGCTACTGTGGAGCAGGAATGAACTAATCGTTCAGCGCTCACATGGGTCCTCCTCGGAGTCTGTCTTCACTCAGCAGGCTGACTTACTGCCAGCACCGGGGAATGAGAGGCAAGTCTGTTGTCAGGTAACAGTCACTGGACTGACATATATCTAATATCTATTTTGATAATTTTCTGACATTTAATAAATCTATTAGCAGTGCTGTGTTGTAGTTTTAACACAGCCGCACCGTAACGTAAGTCCTGCTAGTGTTTACAGCTAACAGCTGATGAGAGTTATTCTGGGTCCACTCCACTTCAGAGCCCTGACAGAGTTCTACCAGGAGCTGAATTACCACAGAGGGCATCTCCTTTAAAACATTAAAACACAGCCACATAGCAACCTTAATGTTAGCCCTGTGATGTGTGAACAGCTAACAGCTGATCCGGGTCAGCCAGAGAATGCAAGTAACTTTTACTTTTTATTTATCGACAGAGCCGTGCTGTTGTTTCACAGCTGACTGGTGAACAACCTGCAGCGTTTGAGATTATTATTAAATTTGTTAAATTTTAATAAGAGTGTGTTTTATTCATCTAGTGTGTCAAGCTTATTACTTCAATATATTCCCTGTAAATCTGATGTTAACATTTAGATGTTACTCATGGATAGGCGTTAGACTACTGTATGAATCAGCACTTTAGAGATCTAGTGATAGTAATTATATTTTTTATATATATATGGCTGGTCTGGTAGTACACTCAGGAATGATTGTGAAAATGGACGGATTTAGTCGAAGTTGTGGCTTAATCGAATATTGACAACATATTTCTGTGGTTTTTCCATGGTTTGAATTTGGTTGTGGCTCCATGAGGCTTTATAGAACCATGATAGAGAAAGATCAAAAGTGAATTTGTGTATTATACTTTGTCAATTAGAGCAAGCCAGGCGGCCTTCTGTGTTTGAGGACTGCGCTGTTTTTAAAAAAATCACCCACTAGGCTGCAGCGCCGCAATAACAAACCTGGTTAAAATGAACGAAATGAAGACACAAAAAAAGATTAGTTCATTTTAATGAACGAGATTTGGTGATTCGAGACTGTCAAAAGAGTGACTTTTCCCATCACTATTGGACAGCAGTAACTAACTTTCGCAGATCTTGGGCTACAGAATCCCATTGTCCCCATCACTATGCCTACTGGGAGATAACTACGCAAATTATCCTACCAAATAAATATAAAAACCTACTACTTGTTTCTCTAGCTGTTACCTAGAAAGTAATCTTTCAAAACTGGCAATCCAAGAATTCTTGTCACATCACTCACTGGATTCATTTACTTATAGAATATATTTCGCTAGAAAAAATAATAGCATACAAAACAAGCAAGATATCAGCTTTTAATGAAACCTGGGATACAGGAAGAGACGTTTTGTTCAATTAAATTTTATTATTATTTTTAATATAATTATTATTCATATTTTTTTATGCTTCATTTAGTTATTGATTTTTTTAAATTTATGCTCTTGTTCTTCTTTTTCTAGTTAATCCCTACTCTTTCCTTAAATTCAAAGCATTTAATCTCTATACTTCCCAACTCAGTTTCCCCCACACCACCTCCCATTTTCTACCTCTTGAACATACACACACACAAACACAAACACACACACACACACACACACACACACACACACACACACACACAAATTGCCTTTAAACATCTTTAATATCCAACATGCTGTTATGTCCAACTGTGCACAGTTGTTTCTCGTTTCTGTTTTTGTGTATTTTCACGAAATACTGTTGTGTCTGTTATGTATTTCAGCTGTTACGTGTTGCGTTATCTAATAAAAAATAAAATAAAATAAATAAAAAGGCTTACAGTTATGCACTATTAAGAGCTTTACAATCCTTAGCTGAAAGATTTACCTTATGATGACATCATGTAAATCTATGAGAGGTCCATATCGTGATCGCTTCAATTTACCAGAATTCCCCACCACAGCGCAACTCCTGCAGAGGTCAGGGCTGGGTTTTATGACATCTGGACTGGATGGGAACATCTCAAACAGCCTGTCCACTGTTTTTTTATAGGTACTAAAGTCGCGCCTTTCAACCTGTAAGTGCTGACACACAAACCAAACATACATTTCTGTTATACTACTTGTGAAATGTATTGCTTAAGTAGTTGTTTAACTAAAACAAATGTTGGGCAGAAGTGATGATGAATTTGTGATATAATTGTGTTTCACTTCCTGATCTGATAACTGCAGGTTGAGAGACTGTTCCAGCAACTTACCTTCCACCAGTTGAAAGCATCCTCTGAGAGATTGTACTGCGCTGACAAAAATGGTTCAACAGATGTGTTGAAACGCGGCATAGACCACAGATCATCTTCTGATAAGCATTTGTCACAAGCACAGGGGTTTGTGTCCTGGAGCTGGTTGAGGTGTTCTGAAAACCCTCTTGAAACATGTCCTCTCAACACACAGATGCCAGTCACACACAGCAGGACAACAAACATCCTCACTTTTGCCTTCATCTTGGCTGTGTGAACCTTGTGATTCCACTCTGTAGACAAAGTGTGTGGTGAAATATGTAAACTGTCGTATTGTTTATTTTAGTCTAAAACCAGCAACAGCAAATAAAGCAGATTGGTACATTATGTCACATCATTTTAATATCAGGCAAACACAGCTGCTAGTCATTATGAAATGAACATCACAGTATGTGTTATTTCTTTCATGAGGACTTGTTGAGGATTGAGAATAAATAAAAAACTTAATTGGTCATTAACTGTATTAAAAATTCTGATATGGTTATCATTAATGATAATAATAATGTCTTATTTTTTTCCAATTGATTTCTGAAAATATTTTCATTTATTTCATGAACCAAAATATACAAATAATTATGCTGTACATTAAATAAACAACAAAAGCTTCAGCAGTTCAAACGTACCTATTAAAGTTGATTTTTGTCTTACCTGATTAAACAATAATCCACTTCTGTTGCAGTTATACTGAGTAAACGGAGGCACATGTAGTAAACGTCAGACCTTAAGAGCATCTGAGGGTGACGATAAACTAGTGGAATTGCCTACTTATGCTTTAATAGCCTTAAAGTCCCACAAAGAAGTCATCTGAGAGAAGGACTGGAACATCTCTGGCAAGGGGGTTTGTACAACGGCGTCCAAAGAGGCATACAGGCATAAATGACGAGAAAGAACCATTTCAGATCCCTGTAGATCCGTGTCCAGATCTTTGTTTTAGAACAAAAACGTAAAAAATCTCGTTCTTAGGTTTAGTTTTGCGTGATGTTGGCGGTGCTCTGCTTCATGTGGTGGTGCTCCCGTGTGTGAGGCACTTTTGTGGCGGGCGAGTCTTTAAAGGACCTGTAGACCAGGAAATAAAAATTCTTATTACACATTCTGCCCATTTCCCATTGGTATAAATAGAATGTGAATGAGTCCCTGTGGCATGACATGGAGACATCGAGGAAGAAGATGAAATACATTGCTTAACGCATCACAACAATAAAACCTGAATGGAAGCGTTGCAACATTCTGTAACTACTGGCTGCATTTTTCTATGTTGTATCATTAGACCCACAAGTACATAACTGGTGGCTACTGATCGTTCCAGATGTGTCTCAGTCTGTGGCTTGAGGGACACTTGTCTGCTAACAGTGTTAGTCTATGTCTAATTGCCATATTATTGTATAATATTTTCAACTTTCGCAAAAACTATCGTGTTATTGGTATTTTCCATAATCATGCGAGCAGTCGTGATCTGACTTTATGCTGCACACAACATGAGTCTGCGAACTGCGAAAGTTAAGGGAGTTGGTTACCTGTCTGACTAGGTAGAGGTGTGCAATCTGTCGCCTGCAGATCTTTATCTATCAGCTCACTCTGTCTGCTCCTGACTGTTGCATTACTCACTGCAATATTACAAACTGGTCCGCTGTCAGAAAACTGTTGAACTGAAAATGACGGTTGTCTTGTTGTGTAGCTGCATTTTTGATGAATGAGGGCAGTCAGCGCTGATCTCACTTACCAAACAGATTGCATTTCCTGTGATTACTTCAAAATTAAAGTCAACTTATGTTTCACCAGTTGAATGCTTTTAATGTGAAGCAGTGGCAGGAAATGTTAAGTTTACATTTGCAGTAACTTAATAAAGCTTTTTTCACAGTTTGCACTGCATGATAAAGCTGATGTTCTCTTGCACTTGAAGGTAAAGTGGTCACAAGTTTATTTTTTATACAGCAGCGTGTGTTATTTAAAATGTAGCGAGATACAATACTTAAAAAAAACCCCACACACATAAGGAAAAGTAAAATTACAGATTTGAACAACAACTTTAAAAAGTATAAGTAGCTACACAGAGAGCTAATTTGTTACTTTCCACCTCTGGTATTATACAATAGCTTTAGGATTGGGACATGCCTTGACATTGTATTGCCATTTGCACTTTCCCAGCAGTTTCTGCTAGAAAGAGACCCCAAACATGCAGAGAGGCATAGCAAAACAGAAAAAAATGGAATACAGTTTCAGATGTCAATATATTACTGTATTTTTTGAGAAATATTACACTTCACTTAAAATTAGACATTTTCACAAACACAGCAGGGCAAAGCAGGTGGATGATAGGGTATCCTGAAAGCAGGGCTTCAGCAATGCAACAGGAAGTGTTGGTGTGCTTGCAGCATGACTCAGTATACTGGCAGAACTGTTTTTTTGTTTACTGGCACATCAGTGGCAGAACAGAACAATGTAGACACATACACAAAAAAAAATTAAACAGAGTTTTAGATGTCAGTAAATTACATCCCTGTATTGTATGAGGGAAATTCCCCTTCACATAGTCACTTATTCCACTGTTTTGCAAGGCAAAAGAAGAATTGACTTTTGTGGTGTCTCAAGCTCTGTGAATTGAATGTTGCCCAACTTGAATTTAACTGTCTTGTAATTTAATAGATTTACAAGCTACTAAGCATATCTTTTCTGAGGTACCTGTACTTTACTTGATTTTTCTTTTCATGACACTTTCTTATTCTACTTCTACTGTATCTCAAAAAGGATATATTCAGTGTTGTGAAAGCTACTTGGAAAATGTAGTGAGCTAAGTAAGTACCTTAGTTACATCTAAGCTACTTTCAATGTTTTAATATTTTATAGTTAGATCATATATATATATATATATATACACACACACACACACACACACACACACACACACACTCCTAATTAGCGCCATATCATTGCAGCTAAACATATTTCCTCATGCAACAAATGGATTGTTGTTTGTATAAAGCTAATTAATTATCACATTGTTATCATTAATATTGTTTGTTATTTTAATAGACTAATTGTTATTTTGAAAAAGCGAGGCATATTTTTAAACGTAACATAGGTCTATTTTGTGTTTTAATCGTCTTTCTTTAGTTTTTATAATGTCATTTCATTATTTATTAATTATATCTTTTTCATTGTTTATATGTGAACTTGTGCTCTGGCAACATTGCAACCTAAACAACCTAAACATTCCTGGCAATGGGCGAGAGGGCGAGAGAGAGAGACTTTGACTTTTGACTTCTTTTATTTACGTCACATTAGAAAACAGACTCCATTTCCATCATCATAATAAATCCTCAACCAGGATTATTAGGCACACACACACACACACACACACACACAATAATAAGTTAAACGTTAAGAGCAGTGAACCATCTTCCTCTAGGGAACATAAAATATGTCTGATCCCCCACAAAGCCCTTAAAGGCTCCAGATTACTAGTCATTACTAGAAAGCGTGCTCTACTCTCAGACGAGCTGCAACCAGACCTTTCAGGCTCCGCACCGCATCTGTCCAGACCTGACCCAACATCTGACTCTTCCTGGTCTTCCAAATTGCTAGCTTAGCTGTCCCAAATAACAAATTGATTAGAACCAAAGTCAGTTTTTTTCTTTTTTGGTCCAAAGACAAACAGAGAAATCCTCTCCCAAAGCTTCCACCCGTTCCTTCAGGACTCTAAAAAGACCAACTAGTCGAGGACAACCCACCACTAAGTGCTCTAATGTTTCCCTCTGAGTGCAAAATGGACAGCCCTCCCCAGTGCCTGGATCCAGGTGAGCTCTGTGTCTGTTCGTAGCTAATGCTCCATGTATCATCCTCCACTGAAGGTCCGCCATCCTTTTCTCAACAGGACCTTCCACCTGTCTTTAGGGGTAACGTCTGAAGCAAACACCTCACACCATCTCGCTCCAGAGAGCGAAGGTTCAGCAACTTAACACAACTGAAGTACAGCTGCTTCTTCCCACAGGAGCTGAAACTACCCAGCACCGGTGTTTTCATGGAGAGAAAAAGTCCACTCTCCTCTCGCCACTCCTCTGCAGCAGGACAGACGCTCAGAGAGGGAAAAATGTACATACCGTCATCCTTCCATTGGCCAGTACGTTTCCTAGCAAAGCCTCTCAGTGGCTTAGAAAGGGACTGCCAGATTTCCTCCACAACCCTATTCAGCACTCTGGATTAGAATGTGGCATTTCTAAGGAAGTTATTATTAAACAGCGGTTCCTCATAGATCCACATTCCTGGCCTAGGGTCAGGAGTTCGTGTGACCATCAGTGTCTGCCAGGCATTAATCACCGAGCTGTAGAAAGGTGTGAGTCCAGTCAGGTCAAGTTCAGATGGTCTCAGCAGAAATAACTGCTTATCCAGCCCAAGCCAGCCAGCGTTCCTGAGAAGCAGGAGCTAACCGGCAGCAACTGCAGCCATACAGCAGCCTCTGTGCCGTCTGCAGTCTGAAGGCCGCGGTTCTGGACAGAATGCCTACAAGTCCTTGTCCTCCCTCTGCCACAGGGAGATACAAGACCGACGCCTTCAGCCAGTGTTGACCGGAGTGTTGACAGAAATTTACCAGGAGCCGCTGCACCTCCTTCAGTAGGCCTGCCGATGGCACCAACACGATGATCTTGTGCCACAGAGATGATGCGACCAGATTATCCCCTATATGACAGCTGAGGTAGCAACCATTTCCATTTAGACAACCTGGCTTCTACCTTTTCCAGCACTCCCTCCCAGTTCTGCCTCTGAAAGTCCTCACTCCCTAAAAAAAACTCCTAGGCTTTTTAGACCCCTTTTTCCCCACCTAAGGTTCCCAGGAAGACCAGGAGTGCTCCCCACGCACCACTCCCTCACTAAACAAGCTAGCCCAGTTCACCTTGGCAGAGGAAGCTTTTCCATATAAGGCCAGGCTTTCTTCTAACTCTTGAATGTCTCCCTGATTGCAAATAAATACATTTACATCATCAGCATATGCTGATACAACAACAGGGGGCATCTCCAGTTCTTTAAAAGGGCTAAATCTCCTTTCTTAGGCAGAAGAGAAAGAACTGCACGCCTACAGGATGCTGGAAGTGTCTCTTTGTTAAAACACTCTTTAAAAACGTCCAGAAGGTCCTGTCCCATGATGGTCCAGAAGTGTTTAAAAAAGTCTGATGGCTCTCTCCTGCAGGAAGGAGTTCAGCTCCTGTTTTGTAGATTTTAAACGATCATTATTTTGCTGATCTGTTCGTAAGGCATTTTCCAAGTCTCTTATCTGGCCCTCTAACTCCTGCACAGCTCTCTTGACGTTTATAGTGACACTGGCTGTGTATTCCTGAAAAAACACCTTAATTTGAGCTTTTCCTACCTCCCACCACTGAGTCAGAGAAAGAAAATCATCTTTCCGAGATCTCCAGTAAGCCCAAAACAATTTGAAATTTTCACAAAAATTAAGATCATGTAATAATTTAATATTAAAACGCCAAAAGGATTTTGGTTTTCCAGTGGGAGAAAGAATCAGCTCCATTAAGACTAAATGATGGTCTGTAAAAACTACTGGGATGATCTGAAAGTTAACTCCGGCAGTAAAGGACGCAGGTACATATAACCTGTCTAGTCTAGCTGCACTTACTCTACCATCTGATATTTCGATCCAAGTATATTGTCTGTCTGAAGGGTGTTTCATCCTCCACACATCAACCAAATCAGTTTTTCTTAATACATGAGACAGGACAGAGGAAGACTGAATATGTGGCTCCTCTCCAATCCTATCTAAAGTAAAGTCAGTGCAGCAAAGTTTCATTTTCTTTGACATTTTATTCTTTGTCGCTTTTCCTTAGACCGGTGACGTGTTTATTGAGACGATAACATTTCTTGCTATCCAGTAAATTGAGCCCAACAACTCTCTAGTGTGTTTTGACTGACTGAATAAATTTATCCACATCAGGAAAATATTCTTTGACATTTGCTGTTTTTCCAAAAGTGTCATTCAGGAAGCCATTCGCTGTCCGTTGCTCCCCTCCCCGCTATCATCCGCAACAGCAGCTGCAGCAGGCCCTGTGGGGGCACGCGATCCGCTTGTGGCCCACATCTCACACTCAAAACACTTCATGTTACCGGAGCTAGCATGCACCATGTAGTGTCCCTGTTCATGCTTAACACGAAATGAGACATCCAAAGTTTGAGTTGGAGAATCCAGAAACATGAACACTTGTCTCCGCAGAGACTGAACATGCTTCAGCTTGGCGTCCTTACAGCCCAGAGTCACTGCCCGGAAACCGCTCGCGGGAGCGCTTCAGTTCTGTCTCTAGCACCTCGTTGGAAATAAACAGGGGGACCCCAGACACTGTGATCCGGACGGAAGGCACCACCAGCGGGGAAACCTGAACAAACTCGTCATCTAAGACCAGTCTGCTTTCTATGAGCTGACTGGCAAACTCTAGATCCTTCAAAAATACAACCACCGCTTTATTCATTCATGAGGCACACGAGATGTTTCCATGCCCCACCTGCTCTCCTACCGCCAGCAGCACCTGCTCCACCGTGGTGCTGGGCTGCGGCACCACCCTCACCCCATGCTTCAGAGACAGGGACGGCTTCAAGAAACACGGCTTACCGCCCCCCAAAGCACCCAAACACACAGCAACTTAAAGTGACAATAAACGCAAAAAATGATCAAACAATCAT